TTAAACACCACTGAATTGTACATTTTAAATGAATGAATTGTGAATGAATAAATATGTGAATTATAGCTAAATCAAACTTTTTTTTTTTTTTTTTTTTTTTACGGCAGCACTTTTATTTTTCTTCACACAATGACATGTTGCTGGGGCCTAATGTTCTCACATAACAGTAGAAAACCAAAATTTGTTATCTCTTTCAAGAATTGACAGTTGTGTACAAAAAAAAACCTTACATAAATTAAAAGGATGAATACATTTACAGGTGTAAATGAAAACCGCTTCCAACTTAAGGCAAGTAACAGCCCATGGTGCTCTGGCAGGAAAACATCAGGTAAGAAAGGAAACCGGGTCCTATGGCTTGGACTTTCCCACCCTGACAGACTGGCAGCCCTTGCCGACCTCTAGAGCAATCCCAGAACACTAAGCCCTGACACATGAATACCCTGCACAGCTCAGAGACTGCTGGCCATGCACTCACCAAGGCAGACTTGTCTGCCCCCAAGCACATTTTTACCTCAGCCACGAAGTGACCAAGCCACATGTACTAAAAGTTGAAATCAGAGATATGTACAGGGTATTAAACAAATAAGGGGAACAATTAACTTGAATACAAGGTCAAAATCAGCAACAAGTTCTACAATCCAGTGCTGGTATCAGATACAAGCTTCAAGGACAATTTCTTTTCAAAGGCTTATTCCAGTTTCATGAGGCTAGCATGAGGTGTATGCATTTGCCAGGGGCAAATTTATACTTCCGAATTAACCCATGCAGCAAATGCTAACGCATCTGCTCGCAGTCCATTTAGAAGCATTTGCGGTGGACGATGGAGGGGCCAGACTCATCGTACTCCTGCTTGCTAATCCACATCTGTTGGAAGGTGGACAGTGAGGCCAGGATGGAGCCGCCGATCCACACGGAGTACTTACGCTCTGGGGGTGCAATGATCTTGATCTTCATGGTGCTGGGCGCAAGAGCAGTGATCTCCTTCTGCATCCTGTCGGCGATGCCTGGGTACATGGTGGTGCCGCCAGACAGCACAGTGTTGGTGTACAGGTCTTTGCGGATGTCCACGTCACACTTCATGATGGAGTTGAAGGTGGTCTCATGGATGCCACAAGATTCCATGCCAAGAAAGGAAGGCTGGAACAGCGCCTCCGGACACCGGAACCGCTCGTTACCAATGGTGATGACCTGGCCGTCAGGCAGCTCATAGCTCTTCTCCAGAGAGGAGGAGGATGCAGCTGTGGCCATCTCCTGCTCGAAGTCCAGGGCGACATAGCACAGCTTCTCCTTGATGTCGCGTACGATCTCCCGCTCGGCCGTGGTGGTGAAGCTGTAGCCACACTCCGTGAGGATCTTCATGAGGTAGTCGGTCAGGTCCCGGCCAGCCAGGTCCAGATGCAGGATAGCGTGTGGAAGGGCATAGCCCTCGTAAATGGGCACCATGTGGGTTACCCCGTCTCCAGAGTCCATGACAATACCAGTGGTGCGCCCAGAGGCGTAGAGGGACAGCACGGCCTGGATAGCCACGTACATGGCTGGGGTGTTGAAGCTCAAACATGATCTGAGTCATCTTCTCTCTGTTGGCCTTGGGGTTCAGGGGGGCCTCGGTCAGCAGCACGGGGTGCTCCTCCGGGGCCACACGCAACTCGTTGTAAAAAGTGTGATGCCAGATTTTCTCCATATCATCCCAATTGGTGACGATGCCGTGCTCGATAGGGTACTTCAGGGTCAGGATGCCGCGCTTGCTCTGGGCCTCGTCGCCCACATAGGAGTCCTTCTGGCCCATGCCGACCATCACGCCCTGGTGCCGAGGGCGCCCGACAATGGAGGGAAACACGGCTCGGGGGGCGTCGTCCCCAGCAAAGCCAGCTTTGCACATGCCAGAACCATTGTCAATGACGAGCGCAGCAATTTCTTCTTCCATTGCGACCAGCAGAGGAGCAGGGGAGCGGAGCGGTAAGAGAACACCATATGCGACCTGGCAGCGGTGACTGAGCTAAATCAAACTTTTTAAAAAAAGATTTTAAAAGATATCATACTAGATAGAAATCTGAATCTACACAGACATGGAAACACCAGAAATGATAAATATGTGGGTAAACATATTTTTCCCATTCAAGAAAATATTTTTTAAAATGAATTGACTTTTTTTTTTTTTGAGATGGAGTTTCGCTGTTGCTACCCAGACTGGAGTGCAATGGCACGATCTCGGCTCACCAGAACCTCCACCTCCTGGGTTCAAGCAATTCTCCTGCCTCAGCCTCCCGAGTAGCTGGGACTACAGGCGTGCACCACCATGCCCAGCTAATTTTTGTATTTTTAGTAGAGACGGGGTTTCACCACGTTGACCAGGATGGTCTCAATCTCTTGACCTTGTGATCCACCTGCCTTGGCCTCCCAAAGTTCTGGGATTATAGGCGTGAGCCACCACGCCTGGCCCAAATCAACTTTTTATAGCAAAAATAATTTATTGTGCATTTATGACATAGGTAGAAGTAAAATTTGTGGTAACAACACAAAACTAGAAGATAAAATGGAAGTATACTTTTGTAAGCTTCTTATACTATACACAAAGTGGTAGATTCTTACTTTAAGGTAGACTTTAGGGTGATAAGTTAAAGACATATATTAGAAACCCTAAAGCAACAGCTTAAAAAAATAACAAGCAAAGAAGTATGGTCAATAAGCCAACAAAGGAGGCTGAATCACAGTTTGGAAAAATAGAAAAAAAAATACCAATCATACTTTTTTTTTTTTTTTTTTTGAGATGGGGGTCTGGCTACGTTGTGTGTGCTGGCCTCAACCACCCAAAGTGCTGGGACTACAGGCCTGAGCCACCCCATCCAGCCTGCAATCATAATCACTTTAATGAAAATGTTTTTTGTTTTTTGTTTTTTTTGAGATGGAGTTTCGCTCTTGTTACCCAGGCTGGAGTGCAATGGCACAATCTCGGCTCACCACAACCTCCGCCTCCTGGGTTCAAGCAATTCTCCTGCCTTGGCCTCCCGAGTAGCTGGGACTACAGGCACGTACCACCATGCCTGGCTAATTTTTGTATTTTTAGTAGAGACAGGGTTTCACCTTATTGACCAGGATGGTCTCGATCTCTTGACCTCAGGATCCACCCGCCTCAGCCTCCCAAAGTGCTGGGATTATAGGTGTGAGCCACTGTGCCTAGCCGTAAAAATGTTTTAAACATCCAAATTAAAAGGAAGAGACAGGCAGACTAGATAAAAAAGCAAGACCCAACTATATGCTGTCAACAAGTGATCCAATTTGAATATAAATACACAAATAGATTAAAATGGGTTGAAAAAGATATACTATGCTAGCATTAAACAAAAGAAAGCTAGTTATATTGATAGCAGACGAAGTAGACAAAGAGGAATAAGGAGGGCCACTTCTTATCGTAATGCTATAGAGGTTAATGGAAGAGAACATAACAATCCTAAATGTTTACATGCCTAACTTCAAAATGCATGACACACACTGATGGAATTGAAAGCAGAAGTAAATTCACAATTATAGTAGGAGATTTCAACATCCTTCTCTCAGTAATTGATCTCTTTGGCTGCTCTGAGACTAGTCTGCAATGAACCAAGAGTGAATGAGTGCACAGATGAGGTCAGAGTTTTTAAAAGATATCACATATGGGCTGGGCACGGTGGCTCACGTCTGTAATCCCAGAACTTTGGGAGGCTGAGGCGGGTGGATCACCCAAGGTCAGGAGTTCAAGACCAGCCTGGCCAACATGATGAAACCCTACTGCTACTAAAAAATACAAAAATTAGTCAAGCATGGTGGCGGGCGGCTGTAATCCCAGGTACTGGAAACGCTGAGGCAGGAGAATCGCTTGAACCCTGGGAGGCAGAGGTTGCAGTGGGTCCAAATCGTGCCATTGCACTTTCCAGCGTGGGAGACAAAAGTGAGACTCTGTCTCAGAAAAAAAGAAAAAAAAGGTATCATATATGATCTTGATTCCTCTACCCGGTGGGACTGCAAACAGTATTATTAATTTTGGTCCTCCGTAAGGTATTATTAACACATGGATTTTCATTTTTCGCCTAATTATCCTGAACCAGTTAAACTGAACACTTGGGAAAAGGGGGCGGGGGGCGGATATCGATAGCCAAGGCAGTGGTTCTTGAGTATCAGAAATTACCCACTGGTTAAAATTCAGATAGCTCGCCCCACTCCAAAGTTTCTGATTCGGCAGGTTTAGGGTGGGGCCCAAGAATTTGCCATTTTAACAATATTTCCCGTGATGCTGATGCCGCTGGTCCCAGAATCACACTCTGCAAACAACTGGCCTAGAACGTGGTCATTCCTTTCTCCTACAGATTTTAAGGCAGCCAGTGGGCTCAGAAACAAAACAGAGGCCGCAGGATCTGATTCCCCGTAGCGCTGAAGTGACTCAAACTACCTAGATCCAACCGATAAGCAGGATCCGGGCCTCCTAAAGCCGCGCGAGAGTTTATGTGACGTCGTCGGCGTTAGCGTCACGGCGGCGTCGGCCACGTTCAGCGGACACGGGAGCAAGATGGCGATTCCGGGCAGGCAGTGAGTGATCCGGGACTTAGGGTCAGGCTGGGAGATGAGAAACTACGGCGACTGTTTCTTTGGCCAAGGAGTTTTAAATGCTCTGGAAGTGAAGGGGCTGTGTCGTCAGGGGTAGAGACGGGAAAAAACGAGAAGTCCTGAGGAACATAGAATCCCCTCCCCCGTACATTTTCCAGGATGGAAGCCCGAAGTTTGAGGGAGAAACTTGTGAGGAAATAAAGGAAGTTAGGCTGAGGGGCAGAGAGCGAGACTTTTCTATTTTCCAAAAGCTCGGTCTGAGGCCCCTCAGTCTTGCTTCCTACCCCGCGCTTGAGTTTCTCCCCGCTTGGATGCTCTCAGGGGCAGTGTGAAGAGAGACAGTTCCTGGCTTCCTTAGAGGGCCTTGTTCTCCTTGGCAGAAGCTCAAGTCCTGATTCCCGCCCTTCCTTCTCGTTTTAGGAATATTGTTCTGAGAAGCCACAGAAAAAGGGTAGGCATGTAGGAAATTGGGGTATACGTTGCCGCAAAAGAGACAAATACTGTACGTACCTGAAAGTTTTACTTTTGATGTGTAACCCTTTTGATGCGGCCTCCCGTGATCTCCGCATCTTAAAGGCCAAAACGTGAGAAACTAAACAAGTTGAATCTGATGGGTTGGTTCTCTCAGCTGCCCCGAGGCCAAGCACGTGATCTTAATAAAGTGTAATGCGAACTTGCCTCTATGGCTACTTGGGGTTCTCAGTTAATCTTTTAAAAATTTTCGTGAGTTACACTATTCAGTCAGTTCTTAGAAACTGTTGAAGTACACAGTAGGAAAAAAAAAAACCCTAGCCATTTTCTTGACTAGTTAGACCACAAGGATAATTTAAAGTATTTAAAAATCTTTAGTGGACATGAACTAAGCTTTCCTCTACACTTTTTTTAAAAATGTTATTGTCGCTTCGCCATCTTAAACATTTCTAAACTTTTTATTTACCTCTCTTCATTGATAAAAATGGTATTTGAGTTTGGCCTGTGTCCACAAATGATCGCTTAGAGTAATAATTATAGAATCTTATGGCATGTTAGAGTTTTGAGATCACTGAGAAGCAGAAGCAGTCTGTTAATGTGTTCATAAAGCTTATGATATGTTCTGATTTGGTAGCTTCACGTGGAAGAGATAGTAGATGTATTATTTGTTAATATTTAAACATAACGGTTTAATTTCTATTTCAAAAAAAATATATGCAGGTATGGGCTTATTTTGCCAAAGAAAACACAGCAGTTGCACCCTGTTTTGCAAAAACCTTCAGTGTTTGGGAATGATTCTGATGATGATGATGAGGTAAGGAAACCTGTTTTACTCATGCATTGTTGGAAATGTAAATTTTTTAAAAATTGAACTTGTAACTGATATCGTTGCCTTTATTTGTCAATACAGTGAAGTATAATTTACGGAATTATCAAAAGGAATGTTTAAAGAAAGCAGCTCCACCGATTTTTTAAAGATTTTTTTTCCTCTAAAAGCTGTGAACTTTATCTTTAAACAAACAGTCTTTTCAGACTACTGAAATTGATTTAACAAAATTGTTGGTGTAAAGATCCTTAGTTATGAGTTAGTAAGATGTCACCAATTTCCCACAGATTTTTATTAGCAAAGCAGTTTTTTATTTGTTAACCATGATCTAAGATCACTATGTAACAGTTCCTAACGACACTACTTTTTTTTAATTCAGTGTCTGCTAAATGTAATTTCTCAGTTATAATCATTGTAGTGAATAGTTACCCTTGATAGTATTATAATAACATCAAAAAATTTTCTATTTTAGCAGCCAAAACAGTGTTTTTCTTTTTTTTTTTTTGTAAGATGGGGTTTCACCATGATGGCCAGGCTGGTTTTGAACTCCTGACCTCAGGTCAGCCTCCCAAAGTGCTAAGATTACAGGCATGAGCCACCACGCCTGGCTAAAACAGTGTTTTTCTGTGAAACCCACGGTTATATATCAGAAACAACCCCAAATGTGTGCTCTAAAAAAGAGCTTGAGATGGAGTCTTGCTCAGTCGCCCAGGCTGCAGTGCAGTGTCGCAGTTTCGACTCACTGCAACCTCAGCCTCCCAGGTTCAAGCAATTCTGTCTCAGCCTCCGGAGTAGCTGGGATTACAGGCACCTGCCATCATGCCTGGCTACTTTTTGGCCAGGCTGGTCTCGAATTCCTGACCTCAGGTGATCTGCCCGCCTCAGCCTCCCAAAAGTGCTGGGATTATAGGCGTGAGCCACCGTGCCCAGCAAATGTGTGCTTTTCTAATACTCCGTGTTTTAAATCTTTCTTTCTTTCTTCTTTTCTTTTTTTTTCTTTCTTCCGAATTTCGCTCTTGTTACCTAGGCTGGAGTGCAGTGGCGCAGTCTTGGCTCACTGCAACCTCTGCCTCCTAGGTTTAAGTGAGTCTCCTGCTTCAGCCTCTCCAGTAGCACCTGCCACCACACCTGGCTAATTTTTTGTATTTTTAGCAGAGACGGAGTTTCACCCTGTTGGCCAGGCTGGTCTTGAACCTGTCCTCAGGTGATTCACCAGCTTTGGCCTCCCAAAGTGCTGGGATTACAGGCATGAGCCACCACGCTCAGCCCCCACTTTTTTTTTCGTTTTTTGAGATGCAGTCTCCCTCTGTCACCCAGGTTGAAGTACAGCAGTGCAAACTCAGCTCACTGCAGTCTCTGCCTCGAGGGTTCAAGCGATTCTCCTGCCTCAGCCTGCCGAGTAGCTGGGCTTATAAGCATGCACCACCATACCTGGCTAATTTTTGGTAGTTTCAGTAGAAGCGGGATTTCACTGTGTTGGCCAGGCTGGTCTTGAACTTCTGACCTCAGGTGATCCACTGACTTTGGCCTCCCAAAGTGCTGAGATTACAGGCCTGAGCCACTTCACCCAGCATGTTTCTTAAAACAAAGAACTTTCCATCAGTTAAGCTGGTACTTTGTTTGGTCTGGCAGAAGAATAGCTTGTTTTTCAGGGTTTTTTTTTTGTTTTGTTTTGTTTTGTTTTGAGACAGAGTTTTGTTCTTGTTGCCCAGGCTGGAGTGCAGTGGTGCAATCTCAGCTCACTGGAACCTCCGTCTCCTGGGTTCAAGCGATTCTCATGCCTCAGCCTCCCAAGTAGCTGGGATTCCTGCCACCACACCTGGCTAATGTTTTGTATTTTTTGTAGAGATAGGGTTTCACTGTGTTGGCCAGGTGTGTCTCCCAACTCCTGACCTCAGGTGATTCACCCACCCACTTTACCTCCCAAAGTGCTGGGATTACAGGCATGAGCCACTGCGCCTGGCTGTTTTTCAGTTTTTATTATATAATAGCATGGGTAGATAATTGAACATATTTGGTATTTCTTTGCTACTTTTGAAGACGTTGGCTCTGTATGGCTCATGCTTTTTAAAAATTGAGGTATAATTTACATATAAAATTCTCATATTTTAAGTATATAGGTTGATGATTTTTGAGAAATGTATATGCCTCAATCAAGATTTAAACATTTCCCTCTCTCCCAAAAAGTCTTCCATACCCTCCTGGAGTCAGTCTACCTCCCCACCTGCTGCCCCAGACAAGTGCTGGTATTTCTATTGCTAAATTAGTTTTGCCTGTTACAAAGTTTCATATAAAAGAAATGATACAGTATGTACTTTTATATCTAACTTACTCCACTCACTATATTGCCAGATCCATCTTGTAGTTGTAGAATCACATTTTTCTTAAAATGGATTTTTCCTCCTTAACAGTGACTTTTCTTCCATTTTTTAAAAATTTCTTCATAAAATTTTCGAATAATGGACCATAAGAAATGAATCAAGGTTACTAGTTAAATCTCCATTTCTGTGTAGCCAACTACAATATTTTCAAATAGAATATTGAGGAAGTTACTAATTACAAATTTTGATTTAATTATGTTGTTTCATTAATAAATATTTAATACCTACTATAGGTTAAGAGTTAATGAGTTTTGCATCTGTAGCCTATGTGCTTTTTATTTTATTTTATTTATTTATTTATTTATTGCCAATCAGTTTGAGCTTATGAGGTTGCTCAGGTTAGCCTTGAACTGATGACCTCGCCTTCGCGAGCGCCATGACCTCCGGCGGGAGCTTTTATTATGTTGTACCCTTTAAACTGTTTTTTGGGGGACCATATATAGTGTTGCTTTCAACCAGTGTCTAGTTTAGTGAGGAAGACAGACATGTAAACAAGAATATAAAGCAGACTGAAATTTGAAAAGGAAACTAAAATAGTGAGGATTCCTATGTGCTCATTAAACTTTATTTGCTCTTCTGGATCACTCTGTGATGTATTGTTATTCTCATTTTACATGTCAGAAAATTGAAGCTCAGGGTTAGTAATTTGTTCAAGGCCATGTGGTTGAAAAATAAGTGGCACGGTTGGGATTTGAACACAGGCCTATCTGGTCCCCAAACCTGTACTCTTCTTTCTTCTGTCTTGCCTTGTTTTAATAATAGAGTTACCGAATGTTAATGAAATGTAGAGAATGAAATAATTCACTCTGTGGCAGGAAAATCAAGGCAGAAATAAACATTTAAATAGCCTTCAAGGCTGGTTTAGATTTCAATAGGCAAAAATAGAGGTGGAGGCCGGGTGTGGTGGCTCACACTTGTAATCCCAACACTTAGGGAGGCCCAGACAGGCCGATCACCTGAGGTCGCGAGTTTGAGACCAGCCTGACCAACATGGAGAAACCCCGTCTCTACTAAAAATACAAAATTAGCTGGGCATGGTGGCGCATGCCTGTAATCTCAGCTACTCAGGAGGCTGAGACAGGAGAATCACTTGAACCTAGGAGGCACAGGTTGCTATGAGCCAATATTGCACCATTGAATGCCACCTTGGGCAACAAGAGCAAAACTCTGTCTCAGAAAAAAAATATAGAGGTGGAAATAATTTCAGTTGGGAGAGAACAGCAAAAAAATACAGAATGGCATACAAGTACAAAGCATTTTTGTGGAATAATGTGGCTGGAGAAGAGGGTGTATAGGAAAAAATATTGCAAATGAGGTTGTAACAGGATTGGTCCAGATTGTGGAGTACCTTACATTTTTTATATAAAATTTCAACTTTATATTTTTAGGTAGTTTTTGAGTAATTCAGTGATATCACACTTTTATCTTGGGAAGATAACTCTTGAATTGTAAAGCAAAGAATGGTAGAAATGAATGATAAGGTTCAAAATACTTGTTAGAAGCCTTTTTCAGGTGAGAGACCTCAACCTAGGTTGAGGTCAGTGAGAATAAATGAGAGAGAGAGCACAGAAATAAATAGGACCTGGAAGCCACATCAAATATCTGGGAAGGTAAAGAGACGAATTCTTATGCAAGATCTTTTTTTTTTTTTTTTTGGTCATTTTCCCTTATTAAAACAAAAATATTGCAATATAATTCACATACTATATACTCTTAGGGTGTACAGTTCACTTTTTTATTTCTCCCCGAGATGGAGTCTCGCTCTGTAGCCCAGACTGGAGTGCAGTGGCGTGATCTTGGCTCACTGCAACCTCCGCCTCCCAGGTTCTGGTTCAAGCAGGTCTCCTACCTCAGCCTCCCAAGTAGCTGGATTACAGGCATGAGCCACCCTGCCCAGCTAATTTTTGTATTTTTTAGTATAGATGGGGTTTCACCATGTTGGCCAGTCTGGTCTTGAACTCCTGACTCAAGTGATCTGCCTGCCACCGCCTCCCAAAGTGCTGGGATTATAGGTGTGAGCTACTGCGCCTGGCCCAGTTCACTGGTTCTTCAGAGTTGTGCAGGCATCACTACTATTCAGAACATTTTCCTCACCCAGAAAGAAACTGTGTACCTGTTACAGTCACTCCCCATTTTCCTCACCCCTAAACCCTGGCAACCACTAATCTTTCTGTTGCTGTAGGTTTGCCTATTCTGCACATTTCATATAAATACAATCATGCAATAGGCTTTCTTTTGTGTCTGACTTCTTTCACTTAGCATGATGTTCTCAGTTTGTAATGTGTTCTCTTTTTTATTACTGAGTAATATTCCATTGTATTATTTAACTATTTATTAGTGGTAGGCAGTTGGGTTTTTCCCAGTTTCTGGCAATTATAGATAATAGTGGTATAAATATTTGTGTGTAGGTTTTCTGTATGGACCTGTTTTCATTTCTGTTGGATATATACCTAGAATAGAATTTCTGGTTCCTCTGATAACTCTGGTTTTATTTATATATATTTTTTGAGATGGAGTTTTGTTCTTGTCACCCAGGCTGGAGTGCAATGGTGTGATCTCGGCTCACTGCAACCTCTGACTCCCTGTTTCAAGTAATTCTTCCTCCTC